TTTCCCTCAGGGCAATTTATGCATAGCATTTATAAAGGTCTCACACCTTGGAGCTGAGGTATGAGCCCCTCCCTCCCTCTCCCCTTCTCTTCCTAAACAAGCAGGTGAGTAATTTCAGGCCTTGGTGCATAAGAAAGCACTTCCCAGATGGGTTTAATCCTCACAAGCTCAGAGAGGCAGGTCAGGGCCCTTCCCAACACATCCTAGAAACTAACAGAGGAGAGACCCCTAGGGTCAGGCGTGCCCCCCTTTCATTTCCTCCCCACTGGTAGAGACACAAGATCCTCCTTCCAGACAGCTGCGTTGTCCCCACTTTCTGCTTTCTCAGAAGGAACATCTGGCTCACCACAGCCCTCTTCTGGCCTCACACATCAGCCGCCTGGAGACTTCTGTGCTCCTCCCCCGGGTGCTGGGGTATCCCAGAGTTTTTCAGACGGAAAGTGGACAAGAGTCAGAGGCCCTTCCCAGGGTACATTGGCTCTTTCTTCCTGTGGGTCCAACCCCTGATGCCCAGGCAAAGGGCCTTCTCAGAGTCTCCAGAGTGGCCATTTTCCTGTGTCCATTCACCAACTCGCTCCTCAGCCTTCAGCACTCACCGGCGTGGGAGTGGGCGTGTGGGATCAATCACTGGTCCCCCAACCTGGCATCAGGCAATCTGGCTGATCTGCTTTGGGGAGGCTGAGGCACCTAACTATGGCCTGACTTTTTACAGGAGGCTAAGGCTAGTCTTTTTTTTTTTTTTTTTTTTTTTTTTTTTACTTTGCAACGGGGCACATGTGCTTGTAAGAGAGAGACAGGAAAAGTGAAAAACACCCCCCAGGGATGGGAGGCATAGCTATACCACAATCTCTTCTCCATTCTCATCTTGGGATTTTGGACACACACGTATATATGCCTGGCATGTTCTTCAAGTCACTATGTCCAGGACTTGAACCATGTAGTCGGCCATGTGGGATCCAGCTCCTTAACCACCATGCGCTGGGCTGGGCTGGCCTGGCTAAAGCTACTCTTTGGCTTAAGTGTAACTGGGGAAATCCTGGCTGGCAAAGGGGACAAGGATAACTCAGGGTGGGGGAGGGCACGTGCTGCTGACAGTTGGGCCCAATGCCTCATGGCCGTGGCTCCCCCACGGTCCATCCCTTTAGCCAAGCCCTGCCTCTGGCTGAAAAACAAGGCAAACCACAGAGCAGTGGTCCAGGTAAGGCTGCTATAAAGAACCCCTCAGAGGCTTGATGCAGGTGACAGCCAGGGGCCTGGACCACCCCAACCCAGGCCACCAGGATAGCATGAGGGAGAGAGGGGAGACCTCAGTGGAAGGCACTCAGAGAGGAAGTGGCAAATTCAGTCCCCAGCTAGGGGAGGCTGGAGTGACTTTCCTTCATTCTATTCAGGGTCTAGGCCATGCCCCTACTGTCCCAGCCACATTGTCCACCTGGAGTTCAGAGGCCAGAATAAGACTGGATCTCGGGGTCTCTGGCTCAGAGCCCTATCCTCTTCCCGTTTATTCTGCTAACCTCTTAGGGGAACCAGAAGCACCAGGAAGCCTGGGGAAGGAGAAGCCAGGGAGCTGGGGCTGCCTGCCCTGGGGACCTGTCCCATTAAGGTATGAAGACACGGCCCTCACTCCATCAGGACTGTGGGGTGAGGCTAGCCCAGTGGGGGACGGGGTCGGCGAAAAGGAGAGCGGACACTCATCAGGCTTCCACTTCATGTAAACATGGCGGCAGTCCCCCCCCCCCAGCCACTGGCAGTCAGGTGGAGGTACGTGATTCTCTTGAGATGCTGCGGGCCCCCCATATGGGATTCAGGGTCTGAGGCCAGGACAGAGGCTGCAGGGCAGGAAGCCAGGCGGGGTCTGGTGTGTAAACCGCTGCAGGGTGTGCCCTGTGCGCTCCTTGGCACCACGCAGGAGGGGTGGGCATCCAAGGGTCCTGCCCACTACTGTCCTTGGCTCAGGAAATCACACAGTTGCTGGGTTTGGTGGAACTGGGACTTGTTTTACCTGCAGAGACAAGGGATGCGGTAGGGAAGGATGTGAGTGAAACGTTCTATGATTTGCCCCAGCCCCTACCCAGTGTGCTTCACGCCTCAAATCTGAGAGCTGGGGATCACTGTCTTCCTCCCAAGCTGCTAATCTGGAAACCAGGTAGGAAAAAGAAAGCAAAAGAAAGCATTCATTCTGCCTTGGTGGCCTCAGCAGGATCCCCAATGCTGGTGCACCAAGGGGTGGAGATGAGGACAGGCCTTGGGAGGGAAAGCCTGGGAGGGAAAGCCTGGCTGGGTTGCTCACCAGCAGCTCACAAAATGCAACCACAGCCCTGTCTCAGGCCACCCTCCGGCAGCCATGCCAGGAACTAGGCAGCACAGGCCCTATTCTACCGTACAGCCAAGGGCAGGGGGCCATTCAGCGACAGGGCCAGAGCTGCCTTCCAGTCGTCTCAGCTTCTGCCACATGGGCCACCTCGGGGAGGCTCCGTGGGGTGGACTGCACTTTGCCGCTGTTTGAAGGTGGAGGACAGAGGGAAGCACTGCATGAAAAGGGCCAGGGGAGAAAACTGCTCCGCTCGAGCCAGAGAAGCCTCCTCCTCGGTTGAAGGCCTGGCCCTCCATTTCCACCTTCTCTGTTGTCCCCAGAGACCTGTCCTCTAGGGCTAGATTCCTGCTCTCCTCTGGAGGGAGGGAAACGAGGGGCCCCACAAGGCAGATCTGACACGTCCAGGCTGAGGCATGGGCTGCCTTTCTCCAGGTGGAAGCTAGCCTGTTTGCTGCCAGGTCTCTCTCCACAGCAAGAGCTGTCTCCCTGGTGCTCACACCACCTTCTGATGTCACTTCAGCTGTGAATTTAATTACGGGGGCATCTGCCTCAGCTTCTGGGCCATTAACAAGAGAACCACTGGGCAGAACCCCGAGCGGGATGGCAGTCCCCAGCGCCCCCAACGCCAGGTGCTACCCAGGCCTAGCGGTTGCCCTCAGTGACTCGCCACCTTGTCTGGGCCAGCCAGGCTAACTGCAGGACTTAGCAGCCCGGCTGAGCGGGCTGAGCCCTCCTCACAGCGCTGCCCCAGCAGGCGGCCTCGAGGACTTTCCCAGCAGTGCCTGGTGTGGCTCTGCTTTAGTGCTTCTCTTCCCGGCCTACTGTCCCCTCGTTGCTGCAATGGGCACATCTGTCCCCGCTTCCTCTCAGTGGCCTATTTTATCTGCTTGGCCTAGTAAGCAGATGCCGAGTTCCTCCCCAGAGACAGCAGCATTGTGGGGGAGGGGAGCCAATCCATCTCGGGATCCTGAAGCAGGGGAAGGAGCAGGGCTCCTGAGGGTGGAGGTGCAGGGGTTAGAGGGGCCTGTTTGGGAGCCTGCGCTCTGCCCCAAGGCGGTGGGAGCACGAGGCGAGGAATGATGAGCCTGTCTTTACCGGGACATGCTCCCCCAGGGCAATAAGGCTGGATGAGAACCTGGAGGGAGACCTCATTCTCAGAATCCACTTCCATGCCTCGGAAGTGGACAGTGGGTGGAGGGGGAACTGCACTCTGTCGTTCCTGCCATGCTCCTTACTGGGAGCCTGCCACGTGCAGGCCAACCAGGCAGCTCAGAGTAATGGGGAAAAATACACAAATAATCCAAACAAAGGTTTTTTTTAGACAAAATATGTGTAGCATGGTATAGGTGATTCAAAGGCTTATGAGGAAAAGTCACACTTCGAAGAGGAGGTAACACTCGAGTGAGACTGAAAATAGGGGCATACTGGGAGGGCAGCGGGGGCGTTCGGGACCCATGGCTGGCCCAGTTTGGCCTGCAGGCAAGGCAGTGCAAGAGACAGGAGGCAGAAGAAACAGGGAAGGCCATGACCAGAACAAGGGGTCCCATCTTCCCACAAGTCTCAGGGCTTTACATTCTCTTTATCTAGAAGATTCTTCCCCTGGATGTCCACATGGCTCTCCCCCTCCACCCACTGTGCTTCACTGGAGAGGTCTCCCTGGATCACTCTTATTTTTAAGAGAGATTTTTGCTATAGAGCACATGTGCTCATTAGAGAGACAGAGAGAGACAGAAAGCAAGAAATCATGCCCTGGGGGCTGGCCACACCACAATCTCTTTTCCTTCATTCTCTCAGGGGTTTGGGCATGCATGCCTACGCACCCAGTGTGAATTTTAAGCTGCCAGGTCTGGGACTTGAACTTCGGTCAACTACGTGGGTGTCCAGCAATGTAACCATTACACCATTTCCTGGTCCCTGGATCACTCATTATAAAAGAGACATTCCCCTTCCCTGATCCCAATCCCCTCCAGTGTAACATGCTTCGCAAGAGCAGAGACTTCGTTCAATCCATTCACTGCTGTTCCAGGAACTCGGAACGGTGCCTGGCACAGAGGAGACCTTTCACAGATATCTATTTATTGCGTGAAATGAACGAGCAGGTGATGGCAAGCCACCTCAGAATCCAGTCAACCAGAACAATAGCAGCGACAGTAGACATGATCAGGTGATGAACACATCCTCACTCACCGGCTACCTCCCTGAGACAGTAGCATCAGCCCTGGCCTAAGAGAAACTAGAAGGTCAGAAGGGCTATGATGTTTGCTGGTGAGAATGAGGACACCCGCCTCTTCTCTAGAGCCAGGTAGGAGCTGTCACTCGGAGGCCCTCACCTGTACTGCGTGATCAGAATCCCTGCTGAGAACAGAGCTCAGGTGTACCAGACCAGATCATGGCCTCCAATGATCAACAGGGGCCTGACGCACTCTCCTCAGGGCCAGTTCTGAACTGCGGAAGCCATCTTTGACAAGACAGCATTTGAACAGGCTCACCTTGGAACTGGGGTCCCACAGGTCCTTGGAAAGCTCTGAACTGAGAAAGCACTTCCCTAAAATTACATCCCTGACAAGGACCTAGATTTCCAGGAGAGAGAGTTGTAACTCTCAGCTCCTAGGGATGACAAAGGAGAACCGGAAGTCTGACCCAGGAGCCCACTGGCCACAGCTCCACAGGACCAGCCTATGCTGCCAAATGGGCTGGCTCATCCACACGGGAATCGGGGGAGCCCAGGAGAGTTCTAGAAAGACGTTGTCGCTGTAGGTCATATCTACAAGCTCTGGAAGAAAGCACCGGCCTTGGGGGTGGGGGCTCTTGGGAAGTAAGTTAGCATTCCCACCTTCCTCTCAGTTGGTAGACAAGACAAGGTTGTAAGGGGGTCAAGCCCACATCCCGTCCTTTGATTCTTCTGAACAGTTCTTTAAAGATGTATGGAGGAGCCAGCAGGTGGCATGGCGGTTAAGGCACTGGATCTCAGGGACTAGCAGATGGTGTAATGGTTATGTTGCTGGACTCCCAGGTAGTCCACCACTTTTTGAATCCTGGACCCAGTGGCTTAAAACTCAGCAGGGCATGTGTGCATGCATGCCCAAAATCCCAAGGGCAGAACAGAAAGATTGCAGTATAGCCATCCCCCACCCCCCCCAGGGGGTGATTTCTTGCTTTTTATCTCTGTCTCTCTGGCAAGTATATGCTCCCTATAGCAAAAACCTCTATTTTAAAAAAAAATGTTGGGTCCCCTATGGCTGACCGCAGCTCAAGTCTCAGCCCCGGCAGCTTGGAAATCACACCAGGTGTGTAAGCATGCATGCCCAAAACCCTGAGAGGAGAATGGAGAAGGGTTTGTGGCATGACCATTCCCCCAGGGGGTGATTTCTCACTCTCCCTCTCTCTGTCTCTCTTCAGCAAGTGCTTGTACCCTATGGCAAAAACCTAAGACAAAGAAAAAGGGAAATGAGGGCCAGCTGTGGCATGGTGGTTAAGGCAGCTGTTGGGTTGTCTATGCAAAAACACGGCATGACTTGGCCAACCACATGATTTGAGTCCCAGACCCAGTAGATTGAGAAACACACAGGGCATGTGTGCATATGTGCCCCCAAATCAGGAAGAGTGGAAGAGATGGAGGAGAAAGGATTGTGACATGACCCTTCTTCATGGGGTTGCTTCCTCTCCCCGACCCCCATCTCTCTCCAACAAGCACACATATCCTCTGCCTGGAGAAACTTGAAAAAAGAAAAGAAAAGGAAGGAAATGATACCAATGCTTGCTACCTGGAGGCAGCCAAGGAACTTTGCAGAGGTGCTATGGCAGAATACACTGCCTTTCCTCACTGTGCAATGGGGGACAGAGCGGCAGCTGTGAGAGGCTGTCACCAGCAGGACACTGGCAGCGCCACCTGAAAGCACCTAGAACCAGTGCTTCTCTTTACTGGCTTCATCTCCCTGGAACCTGAGCAGCATTCCCCGAGGACAGGGCCTTGTCGCTTTGTGTCTGCTGGTCTGAGAATCCTGGACACTGAGAGGTCAAGGCCCTTGTTTAAACACGGATTCCTGAGCCCAGCCTAGGTATGCTCCATTCATTGTGTTTTTAAATGAGACTCTGCACAGACTGCTGCTCCCTGAGGCTTGCGGTCTCTGCAACAGAAGGCCTGCCGGAGCAGGATAGTGGCAAGCGGCAACTTGCAGAGAGGCTGGGCGCACTCAGCGCAGGAGCCAGGCCAGTTAGGAGATAGGCAAAAAGCAAGAGGCCTGGCTTCCTCCACTAGAGGGAGCTGTGAGCCTTCAGAACACCTGGCAGCTTCACCACCCCCCCTCCCCCACACACACCCCAACTAGATCCCTAGCCCCTAAGGAGGCAATTTCCTGAGGTCCTCCCAAGGGCCACACCTGGGTTTGCAAAAATTTGCATGCTGTTTGACAACTATATACTTCTTATCAAGCAATTTTACAGGCTGTCAGCTCTTTGTTTTTTCTATTTTTCTCTCTTTGACCCACCCTGTCATCCAGCCAGGCTCTCCCTTGACGAGAGGGCAGCAGAGACAGAAAGGACAGAGTCGGAGTCTGCATCAAAGGGACCTTGGAGACCCTTCCTGCTCACTCTCTCCTCTTCTAGAGGAGGAAACAGCCCCTGAGAGAGAAGGGACATGTCGTGAGCTGAGTTGACAGACACAATGGCAGCTCTGTAAGCTCAGATGGGAAGGGGATTCCTCCCCTGGATGGGGGGCCTCAATGTAGATGCTACCATGATTGTCTCCCGGGAGGGCTCCCGGTTCCCATGTGGGGGCCCCGTTGGGAAGAGTCTTAGCTACCCGCTTGGCTGCCTGAGCCCAGCAGCAGGCCCATGTGGGGGAGGCTGGAAGCCTCTGGAAAGAGCCTTCAGGAGAGGAGCTTCTTGCCCCTGTTTTTGAGGGAAGAAAGCGGCAAGGTGAGGAAGGGTCTCATGAGAGGTTGTGGATTTCAGTGGCTCAGGTGTGGGACACCCGTCCAGGTGGGCAGAGGCTGCCCTGGATGAGGCCCCTCTCCGTGTGTCCGCTCAAGGATGGAGGAAGACGTCCTGACTGCCTGCCGAGGCACTCTGGTGATCTCTCTCTCTCCCCCTCTCTCTTTCTCTCTTTGCTCCAGCGTGAAGTGCTGTGTAGAGGACCTGCCCAAGGGCACAGTCCACCTGGCTGGCTCCTGGTGCAAACACTCCAGGGCAGCCCTGGGGCCCGTGGACCCCAGCCATTGCAGGGTAACTTGATGTTGAGAGGCTGAAGGCAGCAGGAAGGGACCAGACAATGGGCCTTGCGTTTCCATGGAAACAGCACCTTGGGGTGAGGGGCTGAGGGAAGAGAAAGCTTCCACTTACTTCCAGTCAGGACTTGGGAAACAGCCCCTTTTATGGTTGGGCTCGCCCCCTCCTCCCACTTCCCTGCCAGGTGTTCACCATGGCAACCCTTCTCCAAACAAGAGGTGCAGAGCAGCAGCAGCATCTGGTGTTGGGGAGCTGGGGGCCCAGGAGGAATGGGAACAGGGCCAGCCACCCCTCTCCTGACAGAGGGCCAGGCCTGGGTTTGCGTTCTGGCCCTGCCACCACTTCCTGTGCCCTCAAATCCTTCAGTGCACCTCCCTAGCTCCCATCTGCCACCTCTGTGCATGAAGGGCTGTTGTGAGCGTGAAAGGAGAGAGGGCCCAGCCCGCGGAGGTGATCAGGAAGTTTCGAGGACAAACTGAGGGAGAGCCTAGTACTCCTGCCACACCGAGATTCCCAGGCCCCTTGTAACTTCAAGGGGCAAAGGGCAAGTTGACACAATATTTCCGGAGCACAGCCTCGGTGCATCCCATGGCAGGCGCTGGGGAATCAGCAAAAGAAACATGGTCATGGTCCCTGCTCTCAAGCCACTCATTATTGGTAAAAGCAGGGGCCCTAGAGGATGCACACATCTTAGGAGCCCACTGGATATCCACGATGAGTCCTCAGCCTTGCCAGCACTTAACTGGCTGGCCAAGGAGCCCAGTTCTCATCACTGCAGAGACCCACAGGCATGCAGAGAGAAATCCCAGCACAGAAACCCCTCCAACTTGGGGTGGCGAGACACTGCAGCAGCCCTGGCTGTCGCCCCAGCTTCCTGAAAGGCCACCCCAGAGCCTGCTCTGGAGACAGAGCTGAAGGCCAGGGTCCCTAGGGATCCCAGGGAGACAGCCAGAAGGACACTACCACCAGAAGGATTTCTCCAGGGATGAGCAGCATGGCAAGAATGACTTGCCAGACAGATGCAGGGAGAAACCACAGCACACTCTTCACGACAGAGTAGGAAGCAGGTCAGGGTGCTGATGGGGCAGAGGCTGTGGGGTGCGTCTGACCAGGTGAGATCCTGACAAGAGGTGATCAGCGAGGAACAAGACCAGCTAGGAAGAGCCCCAGACTCAGAGATAGGGCTGAGCCTTAACCTTGCCCCCAGCCGGGCTATGACTCCACTTCCTCCCTTACAAAGAAGACACTTTCTAAGCTGACTTTAGGGACCTGAGTTACTACGAGGGTCCACCAACCCAAATGCCCTCGGGCAGTGGCAAGATCGGCAGTCATGCCCTGCCCAGCGCTGCACTGAGGGCTCTGGGTCCTTGATTAGTTGAGCGAGGTAGGCCCTCTGCCCTTTCAGAGAAGAGAAAACAAACTCAGAACTGCAGTAACTTGCCCAAGGCCACAAGGTAGATAAGGGCCACAGCCATAAAAGGCCCCAGGACCATCTAGCAGACGCCCTCCACAGGCATGAGGCAATGCTCTCCACAAGGGCTGAGTGCCCAAGGAGGCCCTGAGCCCAGGGAAGAAAGCTCACCTGAGACATTGGCACTGGAGTCCTCATTGGGCCTCTTCCCCACCAGAATCTCTGCACTGGCAAAAGTCTCAGTGGAGAGGGAGCTGGTCATGCCACTGGGCGTCGCAGGCCTCTTGGTCCGCCGGCTGAAGAATCGGCTGCCAAAGCGCCGACCCTCCTTGGCTGGGGTGGCCTCCCCATTGGCAGCTTCTCCCTTGCCATTTCGGATGAGGGGCTCGCGGGATTTGGGCTTCAGGTCCACATGCAGGTGAGAGACCACCCTGCCATCCTTCTGGCTCAGCTTTCCTGAGGGAATGGGCTCCACGGGGGGAAGCACCTGCTCCACTGTGACCAGGTCATTCAGGAAGTTCTCCAGGCGCCGAGCCCCCTCAGCCCCCGGGCTGCCCTCTTCCGGCGCATCTGGGGTACTGCCAGTCTTCCGCTGCTGCCGGGCAGCCCAGCGCATCATCTCCCCGGGCGGTGGGCGGCTGCTGGCCACCAGGGCATACTTGGGGTTGATGATTTTCCGTGCCACTGTGGAGGAGTTGAGGCCAAGCCTTCCTGGCCCACCTGCCAGGCCCAGCTGCCGATACAAGTCCACCTCCTCGGAGATGGCGTACAGCTCCCGGAACTCCACATCGAAGGGCTCCACGTTCTGCCCTGTCAGGAGCAGGAGAAGGTTCCTGTCCACGTAGGAGGAACTCCAGGTGAACCTGGGAACATGGAGACAGAAGAGCGAGATCCATGTGCCAGGCCTCTCCTGGTCCCGCTAGCAGCCACTTCAACACCTTGCCTATGCCCCAGCCTGACTTGCCACGGGCCAGCCTCATTGCTGCCCCACAGAAGTCACTACTTGCCTTCACTGCTGAACTGCTTTCTCCCCATTCACCCCATCCTCTCTCTGCCCATGCGTTGGCCTCAAGTGCAGAAAGTGGGCCATGGGCATGGGGGAAGAGCATGAGAACTCAGGCCTGGATTTGAACCTGCTTCCACTCTTGTGTGCCTTGTAAAACGGGGTTCACCAGGACTGTTGTTCCCAGAGTTGCTGGGAGGCTCAAATGAAATAATGTACATAAAACATTTAGTTCCATACCCAGCACAAACACACATTTAATAAATAGTAACTGCAGCTGCCGCTATGCTTAATATTACTCCATTCTATATTGGTTCTTCTCCAAATTTTTAGAGCACTCCATGTCTGCAAAAACCCATGCTTTACCCACACAAGAGGACTCATGCTATTTATTAACTGTTCCTTGTGTTCAAGTCACCTTTCCTCACCTGGATCTTAATTTACTTAGAGGGCTAAGACTGCACAGATATAATCAGTCTCTTGTCCTTAAATAACTAAATTTAAAAGTAACTTGGGACCAATAGGTGATATAGTGGTTATATCGCTGGACTCCCTCATAGCCCACCACAGTTCAAGTCCCAGATCTGGTGGCTTAAAACTCACTCTGGGTATGTATGTATGTGTGCCCAAGATTCCAAGAGGAGACTGAAGGAAAAGGGACTGCGGTGTGGCCATCCCACCCAGGAGGGGTGAGTGATTTCTTGTTTTGTCTCTGTCTCTCCAGTGAGCACACATGCCCTATAGCAAAAATCTCTTTAAAAAAATTTTAAAATGGGACCAGCAGTTAGCGTAATGGCTATGTCACTGGACTCCAACATAGTCGACCATGGTTCGAGTCCCAGACCTGGCGGCTTAAACTCACACCAGGTGCATGTGCGTGAATGCCCAAGATCCTGAGAGGAGAATGGAGGAGAAGGGATTGCGGTGTGACCATCCCCCCTG